CAGAGCTGTCAATATACCCCCCCCCATGGTCCTATCTGACATAGCTGTTTCAGCCAAAGCTGCAGTGCAGGTGCTGTTACACTGGGGGTGAAGAGCCTTATGCTAGCACAGATGACTAATTAGAGGGCAGAAAAGAACTTTTCAAATCAGAGCCCTTGGAAGTACAGGGAGACCTAACTACCTTCAAAGGTAGGCAAAAATCTCATGCATGTGGCACAGAGCTGTAAGTGATTCACAACCTTTTCTGTACTAGGACTCATTTGTAAACATCAATGGCCAGTCCTGACCCAGTGACCCCACTACCCCCCACCCCCTAGTGTGTGGGGCAGGGCAGAGTGTATGGGGTGAGGGGCCTGGGGGGTCCCCAAGCAGCCCCATGGGGTGGGGATGACTCGGGGCGGCTGGGGCCCACCTGAGAAGCGCTCCAAACTCCGCAACCTCCCGTCTAAGGAAGGGGAACTAGAACTACCACCACCTCCCCCCGCTCTGCTCACCTCGGAGGCGGCTGTGGTAGTGCTCCAGAGACTCTTCCAGCTCGTGCTCTCCCCTGGGCTCCCGCATGAGGCCGGGGTCCGGCTCCCGCCGCCGCCCCCTTGAACCGCCGCCGTCTCCAAGGCGAGGGACAGCCCTGCACTCCTGCCCTTCCCGGCCCGCGCGGGCGCTCGGGAGCTGTAGTCCGGCCGGCTTCTGGACCCCGGGGCGCCCCGCGAGCAGGCCCGCCGAGCAGAACTACAACTCCCGGCAGGCCGCCCCAGAGCCGCTTGGCCGCCCGTTGCTAACCGACCAGCCCGAGGCCCCGCCTCTCACCTCGCCCTGAGACACGAAGTCCCCCCTGAGACTACGCTTCCCAGCATCCACCACGACCCGCCCCGCCCGCTACAAAGAAGAGACGCTCTTCAGCATCGCTTCCCCTTTGTTGGACGCGCGACCAGATCTGCGCGTGCTCACTCCTCCCCCCCCCGCCCTCTTCTCTTCTCCGCAGTGTCTAGATTTGACGCATGCTCAGTCGTGGCCCAGAGAAGCGGCTGTTTTCCCCTGCTCCTCCGCTGCCTGCCTGTGGCGCATGCGCAACACACGCGCCCCTCACTTCGTCATTGTCTGGGAGCGTGCGCCTGCGCACTGAGACCTCTCCGGGGCGCGCTCGGCGGGGGCCGCGCTTGCGCACTGAGCTCCTCCCCTCCAATCCCTCCGCATTGTGTGTGCGCGCTCGGGTGGCGCCTGCGCAGTAGCGCGTCGCGCTCCGTGCCGTTGCCTGCTATGTGCGGGGAATAACGGTGCGGCGGTTACTGGCGCCAGAGCGCGACGAGCAGCGTCAGCGCCGACCCAGCGAGTGGCGGGGAAGTGAGTGGCAGCGGCGGCTGCACCCGGACGCCTTTTCCCCAGGCGGCGGTTCTCCCACGGGGGGTGAGTACGGTGCCCCGCCCAGCCCCGTAACCGTTAACGGGAGGGGGATAACGAGCCCGGGGGAGCGGGGGGAGGGCATTGTGGGCGGGTGGCGTCCTCTCACCGGCAGCTGGTTCATTTCCTACTCCTCAGCCCCCCTCTTCCACCTTATCCGGCAGCTCCGCCCTTACTGAATGAATGGAGCTGCGCCCCCCTCCCCCGCCTTGAATTGACCGTTTGGAAGGGGAGGGCAGAGACCCCCCCCCCCCACACACACACACACACTTCCCTCCCCAAGGGTGTGCTCCCCCACCCTGGGGCGCGGCTGGGCTGGAGGAAAGGAGCAGGGTGGGGGGCGCTGGGAGTGGCTGCGAAGGGGTAACGAGCGGTGCAAAACAATAATAATTTAAAAAATATCAAAAATGCCGTGATGGCGGTTTTCCAACCCGAAGCAAGAGGAAGCGGAGTCTGGGCTGAGAGGCAGATGACAGGTCTAGGGATGAGCTGTGGTCTGTGATCTCATCCACACGCAGCCCCAGGTTGGTGGCTCTGCAGGGGGGCGGGGAAGAGGAGGGATTCTGGTCGCAATTGTGTCCCTGGTTCCAAAATTGCATCCCATTTGGAATCGGGTGTGTTTGTTAGGCAGCCACGGTTCTTCGGGTAGATGTGATATCTTTTATTGGATTGGAAAAAATTGCCCTTTGGGCACAATCCCCCCTACCCCTCCTTTGTCAGTCTGTTTCCTTGGCATGGGGAGGGGCCTGAGAGGAAAATCATTGCATTTCTTATTTTTCACCAGATTTCAGTGTGTTGTGTTAAGACGGTCCACGTTGCCCCTTGAAATGAAAACAAGCTCCTCTTTACTTGAGGACTGCTCTGATGTGAGCAGGGGGTTGGACCTTTTGCGGTCCCTTGCCACCCAAATTTTCTATGATCCTCTGAAAATGCTGAGTGCAGGAAGAACGTCCCACAGTTCCAGTCTCACATGGAGGGAGGCTGGCTCTCAACAAAAGAGCTTGTGGCAGTGAGCTAGTTGTTAGGTTTCGGGATGTCGCTTTGCGTGCATGTTCTGGACATGCGAGTCGACAGTGATGCCACCTTTTCCTTATAAATTGAAGGTGTATTTACTGTGCAGTTGAGCAGAGGATGCAGAATGGCTGAACTCTCTTGTGACCCTTAGTGGAAGGAGCGTTGATGGAGAGGATCCAGTGTCATGTAAACACCTTGTGAATTAATGATTTCCCTTTCTGTGAAGGCAAAGGTATTCATAAAATATTTAACTGTGTTGAGAGAATAAAACCTGGTCCTGTATGCTGTTTGGTGCAGGTGGGCACCCGTATCTCCATGGGGATCCACTCAGAGCAATAGGACTATGTGAACGGATTTACCCATCTTAAATGGCATGCAGGATCAGGACCCAAAGTTCCAACAGAAACCAGTAAGGGAAAACACGTGCTTACATATACTGTGGTTTCCAGGTTAGCTTCTCAGAGTGTTCGGTTTTGCCTAAATGCTGAAGAATGTATCTGGCCGAAAAGGGCACTGTAAATGTGAAATCTGTTTGATCTTCAAAAAAAAAAAAAAA